TATTACAATAATTCGTCGCTTTCTTTTTCTTCTTCGAGCTTGTCGGTATGATGCCATTGGATAGAGATTATTGACAAGCAATAAATTTATTATTTGTTTTGCTTGGGTTATACTTAAGTGTGCTTAAAACTTACTTAAGTATGCTTGAAAACACTTAAGTATTCTTAAAACTGAGGAAATATTGAAATTTTGAGACAAAAAAATTCGTCATTCCAGAGTAAGAGGTTAACCACGCAACTGATTGCGGACCATAACGAGCGATCAAACCGTATACAATAATTCGTCGTATACAATAATTCGTATACAATAATTCGCTTTCTTTTTGATATCACTGGATAGAAATGATCGAGAAGTAATAAATTTGTTATTTGTTCCGTCCATAATTAAATATACTTAAAACTGAGAAACTATTGCAACCTCTGGCAAGAAATTAAAATTCTGCTTCTCTCTCCCCCCGAGATAAGCGAAGCTTTCGAGGATCGAAAAATCTCAATCCGATCGAAAGATACGTTTGAATCTCGGCCATTTAATTTATCCCTTTTCAATTGCAAATGATTTTTATTTTACTTATATCTCAATTCGTTTTGCATCGGCAGAGAGTGGCAAAGTTTTCCTTGGCGTATTCCGAGAGAGAAAGAGAGAGAGAAATCAGACCGCGAAATTCGTTTCACAAATCATCGATAATAAAGCTGCACGATAAAAATGTGGCACGGACAAATTGCCGCGAGCTAAACGTTATTACGCCTGGGAACGGGCTTCGAAGTATCCTCCTCCATTGGAAACAGATTACCGGCGAAAAATTGAAGATGGATACGACGCGAGGGTCGTTGAAAGGAGGTGGGGTAGCGGGTGGGAGAGAAAGGTATAGAACTCGGTGATCACATTCATTTCGAACCGGCACGTTGCTATCCGCAACAAAGAGCCCTGAATTCGACGCGCACTTGGCCGTCTATCATCGACAAAAGGACTCGCAGAAGATACCTGCCGCGCGTCTTATCCGCGAAATTCACCCGACAAAAGTGTGTCAAGCTTGGCCACCCTCCTCCCCTTCTTACTCTGACCATTGTGTTCCTACCCCTATTCCACTTGATGTGACGCTGGCTAGACGGCAAAAAGCCCGCCAGTGCTGGAAAATAATGGAACTAAGGAACCGCGCGGATGAACAAGAGAAAACCGAAAACCTCGAGACGATTTTCACGCGCTGAAACCTACCAGATGGTATCGTGGTATTGAAAGTTAATCGTAGGTTAATTTGGGGTTTTGGTGGTAGGATTAATTTAGGACGAATGACCAAGGCCAGGTAAAGTCAAAACGTTTTGGAAACGAAAAATCCAAATATCGTCGGACCCGGTAAGAATGAGGGATGTAAGTGAGAGGATATAAAAAGAGAGTGTGAGAGTTGAGAGATAGTCGAAAAATCGAACAGTTGAAGATTTGAACACTTAAAGAATCGAAGAGCTGAGGAATCGAATAGTTAAAAAAAATCGAAGAGTTGAGGAATCGAACAGTTGAAAAAATCGAAGAATTGAGGAATCCACATTAAAGAATCGAAGTGTTGAGGAATCGAGCAGTTAAAAAAAGTCGAAGAGTTGAGGAATCGAACAGTTGACGAATGGAAAATTCGAAGAGTCGAAGATTTGAACAGTTGAAGAATCGAAGAGTTGAGAAATCGAATAATTGACGAATCGAAAATTCGGAAAGTCGAAGATTCGAACAGTTGAAGAATTGAAGAGTTGATGAATCGAACAGTTGAAAAACTCGAAGAGTTGAGGAATCGAGTAGTTAAAAAAATGGAAGAGTTGAGGAATCGAACAGTTGAAGAATCGAACATTAAAGAATCGAAGAGTTGAGGAATCGAACAGTTAAAGAATCGAAGAGCTGAGGAATCGAATAGTTAAAAAAATCGAAGAGTTGAGGAATCGAACAGTTGACAAAATCGAAGAATTGAGGAATCCAACATTAAAGAATCGAAGTGTTGAGGAATCGAGCAGTTAAAAAAAGTCGAAGAGTTGAGGAATCGAACAGTTGACGAATGGAAGAGTTGAGGAATCGAACAGTTGACGAATGGAAACGAAGAGTCGAAGATTTGAACAGTTGAAGAATCGAAGAGTTGAGAAATCGAACATTAAAGAATCAAAGAGTTGAGGAATCGAACAATTGACGAATCGAAAATTCGGAAAGTCGAAGATTCGAACAGTTGAAGAATTGAAGAGTTGATGAATCGAACAGTTGAAAAACTCGAAGAGTTGAGGAATCGAGTAGTTAAAAAAATGGAAGAGTTGAGGAATCGAAAAGTTGAAGAATCGAACATTAAAGAATCGAAGAGTTGAGGAATCGAACAGTTAAAGAATCCAAGAGTTCAGGAATCGAGCAGTTTAAAAAAATCAAAGAGTTGAGGAATCGAACAGTTGAGGAATCAAAAATTCTAAGAGTCGAAAATTCGAACAGTTGAAGAATCGAAGAATCGGAAAGTCAAATAGTTGAAAAATCGAAGAGTCGAAGAATCAAACAGTTGGAGATTCGAACAGTTAAAGTCATCGTTGAAAAGTCGTTACACAGTTAAAATCTCAAGTTGCTAATTAATAAATACTAATTACTAGTTGTAGTTGTGCGAATTATTCATATATACATTTACTTATAATACAAGTATATGTATATTGTATACATTTGTACTTGTTAAGAGATAATTACTGTGACTGTGATTAAACGTTTCGATAGTGCTAGGAGAGAACGTTCCCGGAAAATTTAACGAGTTTGGAATGACATTTGCAAAGTGGGGGATACGGATGTGATGACAGAGGTAAATTAGAGAAATAGCTGGTTGCTACTCGGTGAGCCGAAATAATGGGATTTTTTTTCACGCTATTTGATTGATGCGTTATTTACGATGTTTCTGAATATTTGGTATTTCATTTTACGTAAAATATGTAGATAATGTTCTGTCCGTTTAAATTCACGGGAAAAGAAGACTACGACCAAGATTTACATATTAATAATCCTTTCTAGAATTTGATTAGCGTGAAATACATTTTATGAAAAAAAAAAAAAAAAAAAATTGAAGAAATTATCACGCACTTGATGGACGAAAATATCTCGTCTCGTTTTTAAAGATAAAACATTTATAAATTAATCTCTCAGGTCGTCAAGGCGAAAATTCAAAGTTGCTTCTTCAAAAAGGAAAGAAAAATGAAAGAGAAAAATAGAACTGCATTCGTTGAAAGCGAAACTCCGACAAACTGGGAGATTATCCTTCATTTTTACGCTGGCATTATGTCACCCCGTCAATTACGAAAGGGGGGGACGATACACGCGTTGGAATGCACAAAGCGATATGAAAAGCGGAGAGGAGAGAGAGAGAAAGAGAGAAAGGAAGAAAAAGTGACGGGAGGAGGGATTCAGCAAACAGATTGGAAAGCCAACAAAGTTATCGAACAACGGTAAAGGGAAGCCTGCCAATGGGACGCGGTAGGGGATGAAAGAAGTTTCACGAAAAGAAGTCGAATAATACTATGAATGGAAGAAACCGGGGCAACGGAGGAGGAAGGAAAATTACAGGGTGATCACGAGCGCGAGAGATAAGGAATTATTTGAAGGATACGTGAAAACGAATGCTAAAGACGTAAGTGGAGGAAAGTAGCAAAGGAATGACACTTCGCTTCCTTGAATGGCGAGGCGATATTGAAGGTAGCTTAGCTACCTTCGAGCGAGAGGAACGAAGGAACAATGTCGAGAACTGCGACAAGTGGCGAAAGTGGAAGAAGTTTAGAAATAATTAGCACGAAAGAAATTGGAAGCAAATGGTGCAACGGCGTGATAAAGTTTACGACGAGGAAAATATCGGAATGAATAAAATACGTTTTCAAGTTTAGCGTCGCGACTGTCTTGGTAAGTTCAGCGTGTTTAATCGTTCGCTGAGACTTTGCAGCGAACGTGAACTACTTTGCCCTAATCACGGTGAATTTGCACTCTGAATGTTAATTGTAGTTGGTCCACGCACTTTTAGAGAGACTTTACCCTTCTTCTCAAGAAGGGAGTATTTCTTTTTAAATTATTTTCATGCACCGTCGACTAATCTTGCTTCAAGGCTCATATTTTGAAACGTCAGAAATAAAGAAAATGGACGTTGATTCGCTGAATTAAGAAAATTTTTCAGGAAACGTAACTGCTGATTTTTTTACTCTTTCATC